GGGGGGGGGGGAGGAGGAACGTGTGTGTGTGTTGGTTGCAGCTAGAGGAGGCCGTTGCAAGTAGACTAAGGATGGTGTAGTTGCTTGTATTTTAGAGAGTTTCTTCTTCTTTGAATTATTTGTGCCCTTTTTACCTTCAACTTTATTAGACGACAGTAATTTTCACCCACAATGTCGGGACTTTACTTACCCAAATGACGGTTAAAAATTGACATGGTCTAGTTTTGTAAACCTTTTCCCTGAGGAATCTGGTCATTATGCGTATTAGGCTAAGTTCTTTTTTGGTTTACTGGTGTGAGCTAGGGTCGAGATTTATTAAGTCGATGCCCCCATGATGCAGCCTATCCTTCAAGATGAATAAATAGTGTGTTACTGAAGGAACCATGATTTTTATGTGTGAAAGCTATGGTAACTTAGTCAGTGCTTTTAGATACTTGACATGTGCAGAACTTAAATTGTGTTATTATCGAGCCTAATATTTGGTAGGCCTAATTTTATGTTCATTAAATTTACAAGTGCTCTTGAGTTCACTGGTTATTCTGCCTTGAAGACATCCTAGTCAAGTAAGTTACGATTTTCTGGAAGCTGGTGTGCTAAGAAACATCCAGTTAGCACTGGAGCCCTATTAACTTATGGTTTATGAATTTCTGAGCTCCACAACCTTTACGTGTTATGTATCAATTTCTAGATATCATCAAATTATCCTATCTTGAGTCTGCTGCTGAAATAAGAACTACAGTTACTGATTTACTTTTGGTCATTGGATGTTTAAGTTCCATATTGAGGTGAAAACGACATTATTATGTCCATCAGTATGATGAGTCAAACTGTGAATCATCGTGTGCTTTAAGAGAGAATAATATTCCCATGCTTACCGTTTCACATGAAACAAATTAAACATGAAAAGACTGACTGACCATTACAACTACTAAGGACACTTTGGTTGCTTTACAAGTAGGGGTGCAGTTGGGCAGGTTGAGAGGTCAAACCGGGCTCAAACCAAGTCATAAATCTTCAACCCGAGCCCAACCCAAACCCGACCTTCAAATCAAACCTTGCAACTCGGGTACTACCCAATCTTAGATTTTGGAACTCAAGTTGAATTCAGATTGAATAGAAACAAAATAGCTGCAAAAGGCCAAAATGAATTCTCAAAGCTGATAACTCTACATTTTGCTACATCCTAGACTACTCAATACTCAGGTTTGTGAAATGTTCAAACACCCAGGCACACACAACCCAAATTCCATCAGGTTAAGTTAAAATCCGTAAAAGACTGAAGAAGAAATGAATTCTAACATGAGTGAACTCCAATACTAAGAAGCTGTTAAATTTTCACATGCTTCATACAAAGAGAATTGATACAAATTGTCTACTGGGTGCCCACCTTCTCTCTACACCTTTCTCACCTCTCGCTTTTTTCCCACCAAAACCGAGACTATTGGTATGCAAGTGATGGTTTGATGCAGATTGTAGATGATGAGAGAAGGTGAGAAGCAGCTTGAGTTTGTGACAAAGAAAGAGAGAAAATGTGTTTTTTTTTTCGATAAGAGAGAGAATATTTTGCAAGTAACAATCAATATATTTATACAAATTGGGGACATGATTTCCCCTTTTCGGCCCGGGATTGAACTTTTCAGATTGGGTTCAGATTAGGCCCCCCATTGCACCCATATTTACAAGTTGATGGATACCTCTATATGCTTGTCAACCCTGGACTGTATGTATGCATGTTTCATGTCACATATTTTTTACGTATTTTTCGGGTTAAGTCCTACTCTTGTGACATCATGACATAATTTATTTTGCATTGATTTGGTTTTTAATTTTTTTGGTCTTTTGCTATACATTTTATATGAGATGGCTTAATTGTGCAGACGAGAGGATGCCGGTTTCTGATTTATTTCATGCTGGTTTTGCAGATTGGGGACCTAAAGTTGATGTGGTGGGATTTTGCTTCCTTGATCTTGCATCAAATTATGAACCTCCCAAATCACTTGAAAACTGGCTTAAAGCTGGTACAAAGCCTATTTATATTGGGTTTGGTAGCCTTGTGAGTTGTCTTTCTATGTTCCTATATCCGTTATGTCTGTTTTAATGGTTATTTGAGGGTTCGTGCTTGCTTTATGATATATTGCACTATCTAGAAATAATTAAACAACAGGGTATGATCAAATTGAATTGAAATGTCATCAGAGTTGAGAAGAGAGAAAAATAAAATCATTTTCCTCTTGTCCTGGGTTTGCACTTTATGGTTGGTAGTCATTTTCCATTATTGCTGTATGTTCCATATTTCATGATGAAATTAATGTTATCATTGACAATTTGGCTTACAATTGTACCTGAAGCGAAATGTGAAAACGTTAAAGAAATCCAAGCATCTTTTTTTCAATGAGGGTCCTCTATTGGCTTTTGGGGCTGTGACTCACTTTTTCTAGATAATTTTAGATACTCCATTGTCCATAGTATGAGGAAATTTGAATTATGTTCGTGATCTCCTACTAAATTTTCCTTTCCTAAATAACTTTGAATTTATTTTTCCCACATCAGCCTGTTCAAGAACCAGAGAAAATGACAGAAATAATTGTTCAAGCTCTAGAAATAACAGGACAAAGGGGCATCATTAACAAAGGCTGGGGTGGTCTTGGTAACTGTAAGTTTCTGTGTCCTTCAATTTGTGATGCCCTCTGTAACTATAGTTGCTTGGTAACGAAAAAATCCCACTTTTTGTCTTGTGCGTGGGGTAACTCTATTTGTTTAGCTGATTCTGTTCTTCACAGTGGCAGAACCAAAGGACTTCGTGTACTTGTTGGATAACGTTCCTCATGACTGGCTTTTTCTGCAGTGTGCTGCTGTGGTGAGACTTCCTTACTTATCTTTGTTTCTTTACATTATCTGTAGACCATTGAATCTGGCCACCAATACCTTCTAATCACGGATGGACATGACATATTGCTTATGTGGTATTAGATGCCAGACTATCAAGTTTTGTCAATGTAGATCAATGGAAAACTTATTATACCTCCTCAGAATCACGCATGTCAGTATTTGGTACCCTTAAAAGTTCCCCTTGCATTTTTGACAAGACTCTTAGCCCCTTCTTTGTCTTCGACTTTTAGGCAATGTAAAATCAATGAGTTTTCACAAAATTTATGTTCTAAATATAAGGAAGACAAACAGGGGTGGATTTACTGTGGGGCAATGAGGCACTTGCCCCCGGTAATTTTCACAAAATTTGGTATGCATTTAATATTTTTGGAAATTTAGAGTTATTTGAAACCTGCTCCCACTAAAATGTATATATAAAATTTTAGGATTTATATTTTACAAAATAAGTGGGGTGCTACCACCACCACCACCACCACACTGCCACCACTGTCCTTGTCACCAACCTCATCCAAACCCATAACCTTCTGGTGGAACCTTAACGCGTAAATGAATAACAAGTAACTGAATAAATAAAGACATTTACTCAGTTTTCTGTCGATGTTGAGGGAAAAAAAAAAAAGAGAAAGGAAAAATTGAAAGGGGTGGATAGAGAAGAAAGATTGCAAGTATGTGTGTGAAGAGGGAGGCGGTCAGAAAAAGGACAGAGAGAGAATGAGGGAAATAGTCAAGAAAAAAAGGGAAATAGGATGTCGTGTGTAAGGAAATGGGGAGGAAAATAAGTAAAAGAGAAGAACAAGTATGAGATAGTATGGAGCAAAAGATTCTTTCTTTTTTTATTCTTTGTATAAGAGGTAAGGAGATTGTAGACTATAGCTAAACTAACTAAAGTTGTTGAACTCTAAAAACACAATATATGCGATGTATATAATGGGTTGAACCGAAATCATTAAATCTAGATGGGTTTGGGTTGAACCTAATCAACTCCGCACTCTAACTCGAATATTTCTCGAATTTAAACTGAGTTGATAATTTTTTTTTTCCAAGTACCAGAAATTCACTGCTTAAAGAAATCTTGTAAGAAAATTTCAAGTACAATGTAAGAAATGAAAATGTTTTGGAAACAAAATGGAGACGGTAAAAAAATTGGGAATTTATGTGCAAAACGTTTCAAAAACAGTAGCCGAAATGTATCAGAACAATCTCGAAGCATTTTAAAACATTGGTGGAAACATGCCAAAATATTTTGAAACATCTTGAAGTATTGAAATTTCAATTCAATCATTGATTTGTTTCGATCTCTTTGGAATCACTAGTTTGTTTTGATTTATTTGGAAACGAAAATATTTTGGCATTTTCAAATTGATATTTTGATCCTTGGTTACCTAGAGCAGTAATGGGATCCAATTTAAGCATAAGATGATGCCTACTCCCTCCAGGACTAAATATGAGGAATTGGAATTAGAATTAGACTAGTGTATATTTAAATAACTTAAAGCAAAAGATTGTGAAATCCAATGATGCATTTAGAAGTAAATTAATATGAAATAACACTTGTTACAAGGGGAGGGATATTATCATATTTCAATGATAAGATAGGAACTAATTTGGAATAAGTAAGTTTTTGTTGTATGATCTTAAATCGTATTTCTGAGCTTGATAGGTTAGAAGTGGTGGGAGACTTAAATGACCACTTGAGAAAGGGACAGATTAGATTTAAGAAATAAGAATGAGAAGGTCGTGTTTAAAGAAGATATTAGTTAAAAGNGAAAAAAAAAAAAGAGAAAGGAAAAATTGAAAGGGGTGGATAGAGAAGAAAGATTGCAAGTATGTGTGTGAAGAGGGAGGCGGTCAGAAAAAGGACAGAGAGAGAATGAGGGAAATAGTCAAGAAAAAAAGGGAAATAGGATGTCGTGTGTAAGGAAATGGGGAGGAAAATAAGTAAAAGAGAAGAACAAGTATGAGATAGTATGGAGCAAAAGATTCTTTCTTTTTTTATTCTTTGTATAAGAGGTAAGGAGATTGTAGACTATAGCTAAACTAACTAAAGTTGTTGAACTCTAAAAACACAATATATGCGATGTATATAATGGGTTGAACCGAAATCATTAAATCTAGATGGGTTTGGGTTGAACCTAATCAACTCCGCACTCTAACTCGAATATTTCTCAAATTTAAACTGAGTTGATAATTTTTTTTTTCCAAGTACCAGAAATTCACTGCTTAAAGAAATCTTGTAAGAAAATTTCAAGTACAATGTAAGAAATGAAAATGTTTTGGAAACAAAATGGAGACGGTAAAAAAATTGGGAATTTATGTGCAAAACGTTTCAAAAACAGTAGCCGAAATGTATCAGAACAATCTCGAAGCATTTTAAAACATTGGTGGAAACATGCCAAAATATTTTGAAACATCTTGAAGTATTGAAATTTCAATTCAATCATTGATTTGTTTCGATCTCTTTGGAATCACTAGTTTGTTTTGATTTATTTGGAAACGAAAATATTTTGGCATTTTCAAATTGATATTTTGATCCTTGGTTACCTAGAGCAGTAATGGGATCCAATTTAAGCATAAGATGATGCCTACTCCCTCCAGGACTAAATATGAGGAATTGGAATTAGAATTAGACTAGTGTATATTTAAATAACTTAAAGCAAAAGATTGTGAAATCCAATGATGCATTTAGAAGTAAATTAATATGAAATAACACTTGTTACAAGGGGAGGGATATTATCATATTTCAATGATAAGATAGGAACTAATTTGGAATAAGTAAGTTTTTGTTGTATGATCTTAAATCGTATTTCTGAGCTTGATAGGTTAGAAGTGGTGGGAGACTTAAATGACCACTTGAGAAAGGGACAGATTAGATTTAAGAAATAAGAATGAGAAGGTCGTGTTTAAAGAAGATATTAGTTAAAAGCAAAAAGTTAAGGTCAAGTGGGTGAAAGAGGAGGACTATAATTCAAAGTTTTTTCATAAAGTGGCTAGTGGAAGGAGGAAAATAGATTATAAGCAAACTTGAAATTGGCAATGGTGTGATAATTGAGGATGGAAGGAGAATTAGGGAGGAAATCATTAAATATTTTAAAGATCTTTATTCAGCTCAAGAGAGATTTAGGCTGACGTTATTAAGATTAGAGTGAAGCCCTATTGGAGTTGGTAAATCTACGTGGTTGGAGAAACCTTTTGAGGAAGAAGAAGTGAAAGATGCAATTTTTTAGGGTTCTAGAAATTAGTCCCTTGGGCCGAATGGTTTTTCTATGGTCTTGTTCCAAAATTGTTAGGAGGTGATGATTTAATGAAGGTGCTTAGGGAGTTTTTTAATAATGAAGTGATGAATGTGAACACAAATGCAAGTTTTTTTTGCTTGATTTCTAAAAAATATAATTAACTGAAAATTGAGGATTTTAGACCAATAAGATTAGTTACTAGTTTGTGTAAGATCTTGTTAAAGGTGTTGTTAATAAGATTGAGGGTGATTTTAGGGAATACAATATCAGGAAATCAAAGTGCTTTTGTTATAGAGAGACAAATATTGGATGGTGTCTTGGTGGTTCTTTAAGTGGTAGAGGAGTATAAAGTGAAAGGTAAGGCAAAGTTAGCTTGAAAGACTGACTTTGAAAAGGCATATGATCATGTGGATTTAAAGTTATTTGATTTTGTGTTTAAAGATAAAGGTTTTGGGAGTAAAGAATGTTTATCTTCAATAAGTTTTTCGGTGGTCATTAAAGGTAAGCCACGAGGTAGATTTAATGCCTTTACGGGCTTCAGGTAGGGAGATCCTCTTTCATCACTTCTTTTTTAACTTTAGTAGTTGATGGTTTAAGTCGTTCGATGTATAGAGGAATGGAGTATAGTTAATAGAAGGCTTTTTAGTGGGAGAGGATAGGATTAGTGTTTCTCATCTACAGTTCGCGGATAACACCATTTTTTTCTTGTTGGGAGATAAAAAAAATTTCACAAATTTAGTTTACATTGTTAGGAGTTTAGTTTGGTTTTAGGGTTAAAGTGAATATGGCAAAGAGTTTAGTTGTGGGAATTAATACTCCTTGGAGTAAGATCGAAGGTCTGGATAAAAGGTTGGGGTGTGAAGTGAATGAGTTACTTTTAAAATATTTGGGCCTTCAATTGGGAGTTAATTCTTTAACCCTTACTTTTTGGAATCCGTTTGTAGAGAGTGTAAAAAATGTTAGGTGGATGGAAGAAGGGTTGTTTGTCTAAAGGAGGGAGACTTACTTTAACCGAAGCGATTTTGGGTAGCATACCTACATATTTTTTGAGTTTTTTTAAGATGCCTAGAAAAATAGTCAAGATATTGAAAAAGATGATGAGATATTTTTGTGGGAAGGAAGTAGAGAAGGGAAGAAAAATCATTTATTAAGATAGGAAGTTGTGTCAAAATCAAAACCAAAAGGTGGGTTGGTAATAGGTCATTCGATTAAGAGAAATGCGCCTTTGGAGGTTCTCGTTAAAACCTGATTCCTTGTGACATTCTATTGTATGGAATATATTCCAATGGATAAGACTCTAAAGTAGCAAGTATAGGATCCTTTTGGAATCTTTGGAAATGTATCTTTCAAGGTTTTGAGGATTTTAGAAAACGCATTACTCTGAGAACGGGAAATGAGGGGAGAGTTTGTTTCTTGAAGGATATTCGGATTGGTGAGTTACCTTTTGCTCTATGATTCCCTTGGCTTTATTGATTGTCGGGTTTCCATAATGCTTTTGTGATTAGTTTGTTTGGTGCTTCTTCCCAAAGGGGGTGTAATTTCAACTTTTACCATAATCTTAATGATAGGGAAACTTTGAAATCGACATCTTTACTCCCATTGATTAATTAGGTCTCTTTGGATTTGTCGGTCAAAGATAAAGGGTTTGGTCTCTTGATTCTTCTGGAATTTTGTCTTGTAGTTCCTATTTTCAATATTTAAGTGGTAATCCTTCGTATCCATTCTTTGAATCGTGAGTTGTTTGCGTGCGTGATTACTCATGATAAGGTGAATACTTGTGACTTGTTGCAAAAGAAAAGACCTAACATATTTTTTTTCCGAATTGGTGCGACTTGTGTAAGAAAAGTGGTGAAATTATTGATTACTTGTTTTCGCGTTATTATATTATTAAATTTTTATGGCATAAGCTATTGTGGAGGCGGATTTGTAGTGGGTGACGCCTTGTGATTGTATATCCTTATTAGTGGTTAGTTTTGGTGGTTTTGGGGGTGGGAAAAAAGCTTCAACACTATGGAGATGTGTTATTTTGGCCATTTTTTGGGTAGTGTGGATAGAGAGGCATGGTAAATTTTTTGAAGGGAAGGAGGAAGAGGAGTTGTTATGGGATAAGCGAAATTTTTAGCATCATTATGGGCCAGGGCTTTAAATGAATTCAATGACATTCCTTATTCGGTTTTCCAACAAAATTGGAAAGCTATTTGTAACTGGATCGTCTTTTTTGGTTACTTTGATTTTTATCTTTTTGGGTGGATTTCTTATCCACCACTTATATAATTTTTCATCTCTCAATGAAATTAAAGTTTGTTTGTTATTAAAAAAAAAGAGATAAGACACGAACCTTTGATTTAGAACTTGAAGGATGTTATGCTAGCTCTAACTTCATGTTGTGAGCTCTCGTAATATGAAGATGGATCAATAGATGTGGTTTGCTTGTTAAATCATGTAGTGATCGTGTCCGGTAAGACCTCACTAGGCATGAATAAGTTTGAATGTTTGTAATTTCCACCCAATACATTATTTGAGTTCTCTTTGCTTTGTACTTCGCTTTCAGGTGCACCATGGTGGTGCTGGAACAACGGCTGCTGGTCTTAAAGCTGCGGTAAGGCTTGTTAAATTATTGTCGATCAGCTTACCAAAAAAAATATTGTTGACTTGCCTTCTGTTTCATCTGATTATGCCTCTGGCTATATTTTGATTTCCATCTTAATGCAATATAGTGTCCTACAACCATTGTTCCTTTCTTCGGTGACCAACCTTTTTGGGGAGATCGAGTTCATGCCAGAGGAGTAGGCCCTGCGCCCATACCAATTGATGAGTTTTCACTACCCAAGTTGGTTAATGCAATCAAATTTATGCTAGATCCCAAGGTAACAATCAATTCCTCAATATCTGGATCGCATCATCACCATGCATGTTTTTTATTGTTTTATGCTGATTTGCTTGCCTGCCTCCTCTTCAATATTCACTTAGAGGAAGTAAAATCAAATAATGACTATAAATGTAGGTAAGAGTAAGAGTTAAGAAAGTTGAACACAACTCGTAGATAAAACTCTAGCCCATGATAGATTCTTCCTCTACCTTCCCACTCCTCCACAGCCCCCCTTCCCTCCTTTCCCCCCCTTTCATTGGGCCCTCTAGGCAGTTTATAGAGAGGGTAGCCAAAAAACAATACGGCAGAAACTAAACTAGGAAGGTAATGCAGGTGAAGGAGCTCGCTGTTGAACTTGCGAAGGCCATGGAGGAGGAAGATGGTGTGAAAGGAGCAGTGAAAGCTTTCTTTAAACATCTTCCTTGTAAGACACAGGATCCGGAGCAAATACCTGCCCCTTCTAGTTTATTCTCTATAAGTAGATGTTTTGGTTGTTCGTAGATCTTGACGGGATAAGTTTGTCCCCCCTCTCATAGTTGTGCATGCTTGGTTTGGCTATAACAGTCTACCTTTGTAATTATGAAAAGGTGAGATGAGATGAATCCTAGCAAGACTGGACCCAGTTGTTCACAGCAATCCCTATCCCGCTGCCCCCATAGCGGTATTGATCTTTATTCATTATGCTTATTATTTGTTTGTTGCAATAAATATTTCTTCTGTGAGATTGTTTTCTTGGGTTGGTTCATCGGTGAAAAGGGGGCTTTAGCTGCTGTCTTGTGGCATTTGTTATAATATATATTTTATTTTATTTTATTTTATTTTTAATGATGAGGAACTTTTAAATGCACGGGTTACCAGAGAGTCGAACCAAAGACAGTTCAACCAAAGCTAACCTCAGAATGTAAAATAAGCTAAAACTCTTTACTCAGTTTGTTCCCATTTGGGTTTGTTTTGCAGCCGTTCCAGGCAGGGGGGCATTAACTTAGACATTTGTTTGTATTTTGAAACTACCCTAGTTTTTAAGATTTTTTTTTTGTTGCAGAGTGTCGACGTTTATACCAACTATTCAATTGAGCTTTAAATTGGTCACCATAACTCGAACTAGTTTAAGAACATGTCACCTAAGGAACAAGGGGACATGTTAGTAAGAGTTTTTAAGATAATCAACCCACTACAACGTTAGCAAGAATTTAGGACCAATTGTGTCCTAAATGTTGTAAAAGAATTGTCTACTACACCAATTAAGCACCGATGGGTCTCTTTATTTGTTGGGTAAAACTTGGCAGAGTAGTAAAATTGTGCTAATTTAAGTAGAAATTTATTTTATGACGTCAGTTAGCCAATCATGGCAAGGCTTTGGTTAGTAAAATTTGATAGTTTTGGTCTTTTTCGACTTAACTTAGTTGGGAAATTGAAACCGTTTCAACTAAGTTTTTTAAATTTGCGAGGGGGTTTATGCCCTATAAAGAAAGATGAGACTTAGAAGGGTGTAGAGAAAGAGTCTATTACTGTTTGGTTATTTGGTCGTTTGTTAGTTTTGCAGGTATTGCGCACAGGAACAGTCTTTGATTGAGGAAAAGCAGTTTATCGTCTTTCTGGGTACGGATTTTTCTATATACATATGGTTATGAATTCTGATTAAGGTGGTGCTTATTTAACGACTCGTGATCGACTGTGGGTGTAAGAACATGGACTGCAAAATCGTAACATATCAACATACTTTTATAGCTAGCGTCAATGGCAGCCCACTACAGTAGCTTTTTTATTTTGGTGGATCCACTCTAGTNTATCGACTGTGGGTGTAAGAACATGGACTGCAAAATCGTAACATATCAACATACTTTTATAGTTAGCGTCAATGGCAGCCCACTACAGTAGCTTTTTTATTTTGGTGGATCCACTCTAGTATTACAATCATAGCAACTAGTGTTAAAGGAGTTGAAGCATGCAACGAATAAAAAGGTGACAAGTTGCAAGAATTGGCGGTGGGGATGTCAGATAATACAGGAACGGGACTAATGGCTATCTGTGTGCTCCATAACTATTTATTGTAAAGGAGACTAGGTGACTTGCATGGAGAGAGAGAGAGAGAGAGAGAGAGAAAGAATGAGGCAACTGTCCTTCTGACCAAGTGGGGAGACTTGTCTTCAGCTTTTGAATTATCCAATCCTTTCATATTGGCCATTAGAGACTGCAACCAGGTCATTTACTCCTGTTCATCTGCCTTCCTGATTCCCATCTCTCTCTCATTTTTCTTTGGGCATCCTTGTATTTGATAGACTAGCCCCTCATCAATTACATGCAAGGGAAATCAGGACTGCTCTCAGTTGAAGGATGTAGCATATACCAGTTTCATGTAATATTTGTGTTTCCTTTGAAGGGAATTGTACCGACCATGGTCATTGGACCCATAGTTAGCTATGTAAATCTTGAATACACGTAATTATCTGTAAATTATGTGTATCAATTAAACACGAATTTTATGGGAGAGAGGACTAGAACAATTGTGCCTTTGATTAATGGGATGTCCAGTAATTGATGAGAGATAAAAGCATAGGAAAGAAAGGGAGTAAAACCGGCTGCCAAGTAACAATAGTGCCCATGAAATCCGNGTCACAGGTCCCTAATTGATGAGAGATAAAAGCATAGGAAAGAAAGGGAGTAAAACCGGCTGCCAAGTAACAATAGTGCCCATGAAATCCGATAAAGTGTCAGAGTGAGAGAGGGATAGAGATTCCAGTTTCCGATCCTTACATCTCTCTCTCTTTCTCTCTCTCTCTCTGTCTCTCTCACACAGACACACACACAATCTCTCTCTTTTCCTCATGATGCAGAAGAGTATTGGAGGATAGTTNCTCTCTCTCTCTCACACACACACACACAATCTCTCTCTTTTCCTCATGATGCAGAAGAGTATTGGAGGATAGTTGCCCACTTATCCCCTCTCTTATCTCTTCTGTTCCCAAGCCCATACACCATACTGTCCCATGCACTCTTTTCAATATAATCACACACAGACACCTCTTCACATGTCCCAACCCTTCCAAACATAGTGTCTGAGCTGTACTTCTACCCTCTTTTGATCAGATCAAAATAGTCTGCAAACTTGGTTCATTCTCTTCTTTTCCTGCCACTCTGCTCAATCACTTCTTCAACTAGTTTCTGAAGGTTTTTTTTATATATGCTTTCACTTTGAAATTGTTTCTCTCTTTTAAATTAGCATGAAGAACTTGTCTTATAAGATATTGATCTTTAATTCTTTATACATTGTTTTGGTTACAGACATGGAAGGCGAGAACGTGACAAATGTTGCAACGAATAGTGCAAACGATACGCGAAGATTATTTCCTTGTTCATTTTGCTCGAGAAATTTTAATAGTTCACAAGCTTTGGGAGGCCATCAAAACGCACACAAGAAGGAAAGAACCGCGGCAAAAAAGTCTAAAAGGGCATCAGAGTACACAAGGAACAACACATTATGTTCATTTCCACAACCACCACTAATTTTTACTCCAGACCACCATCATCAGCTTGGCCTTTTTAATCCTTCCATCTACATAACTCCTCATGCAGCCAGCCATTACCAATTTCCTGGCCAACAGTTTTCGAATCATTTTAGAACAAAGGGTGGACCTCGTTTTGATGACATAATGTTCGGTCCTGCCAACTGCTTGAATAGCCCACATCAATTTGAAGAGCATGAACAAAGTTTCTTGAATTGGCAAAATAGTCTGCGAATCAATGGCTCAAGTGAAAGTTCTCCACAACATCAATCGACACTGAACAAGAGTCACAGTCATGGAAGTGACGACAGGGAGAAAGATCAAAAGCTTGATCTTTCGCTTCATTTATAGATAAAAGAAACCAAGGCTAAGCTAGATAGGTGAGTCCAACAGATGAACTATTTCTTTTGACAATTGTTTTTATTGTTCTTGTTCTTTTTGTTGCAAGTCTGAAAATGGAGTGTTACTGTTGGTTGTTGGGGGTCCAAAACATTGCACAAACAGGTCTAATTTTCCTTTGTGGATGAACATATCTAACCTTCCATATTTACTAGTGATATTTTTAAACGTTTGCGCTACACTTCAATGAATCACGAAAACAATCTCTCTCCTCAAACCGGTGGCTAGTGGTATTTTTAAACGTTTGCGCTACACTTCGTTGAATCACAAAAACAACCTTTCTCCCAAAAGATTCAGAGGCGTTTCCCACCACAGCTCAAGAAAAAGCTTGAAAATATACATAATATGACCTTAGATACTGGAAATCGATCATTGTTTTTCCGGAAGATGATAATGTTGTTTTCAATAATGATATTTGGACTATCTTTGTTGATCAAATCATATGATATTGGTGGATTAACAACAGAGTCCCAATACTGAAATTGGTTAAAACCAATTCAATTATAACAGTAAATTTGACCAAGAAATGTGGTCATGATATAATATAGATGAAGTTGAACAATTGAAAATATGATATTTGTTTTTGTTGTCAATGTTTCGCTTGATAGCCTGGGTATTTTCTTTAATACACTCCTTCGATTCTTCAGCCAGCTGCCTCTTTGGCTTTTTGGGTTACCTTAAAATTAAAATTAGGCCAGTAAATCATGTCGGGTCTTAGTGAGTTCTTGTCAAAAAATATTCCACTCATGTTCGATTAATTCGTATTATTCACTCGTTTACTAAACAAATAGCTTAAGGAAGATTTAAATCTTTTAATTTTGTATCGTAACACTCTTCCTTAAAGCACAATTACATCTGCAAGCAGTCAAAAACACTAAACCAAAAACATTTCCCAACAAAAAATTGCTAATGATATTGACAACAATAACTACATCAGCCAAAATCTAATAGTTTATTTCTCACATTTGTGAAATAGATATTATCAATTCGGTAAAATATCATTAGATATCGATGAAGACATGAAATCATTATTATCAATCACACTCACCCCACCCATGAAACCAGGATTAAAGAAAAAGGGTGAATACGTCACTACCCATTAAAAGAAAAAAAAAAAAAACAGTAAAAGAGAACAGGCCATTATTTAATCCAAGGGCTGCGTGGGTTCAATCAGTGTATTATGCAGCAGCAAGCAAGAGGCGCACCGCGGCCTGGTTTAACACATTTTCCACCTTCAGGAAATTTTCTTTCAATGCAAGTTCGATTGCAGTCTGGGAAATCAGAACAAGGCCCTTGATAGACCCTCGTTTCCGCAGCTTGACCTGCCACACAAACAGTACCTACTATTAGCAAATGAACAAGAACAGTTTTGGATTCATTCCTCCAATATATATATATATTTTAAATTTTTTTATGTATCAAAGTTTGACCCACAATTTTCAAACGTGTCCGTCATCCATCAATACCCAAAATTCTAACGTAAATAATCTATTTTTGATTGAATCGAGAAAAAAATTAATCGAGGCACGTGTAAGTTGGTCCAAACATCTTGGATTATTAAACTAAAAAAAACAAAAACAAGGTTGAAACATGGAAGGATAGATGTTTACCTGAACTCAAAAGCAAAGCAATGCAAAGAAACCCAAAGAAGAAGATTGCACACACTTTTCTGGCTGTCATTCTGCCAAGGTTTGTGTACTCCTTTTCTTGTCTATTGGAATGAGTATACCTACAGCTTCTTAACCAGTCTATTTATAAGGGCATTTTGCAATATTTCTCTCCTAGAGNGGCGTCGTGTAAATTGGGTTGAGTCCTCCTCGGATTCATCTCCCTTCCTCCATCTGGATAAACTCGCCGGAGGTCGTCTAGGGCCAATGGCCTTGCTTTCCTGGAGTGGTTGTCAAGATGGCATTCGCCGGCTTTGGGTCGCTTCGGGGCCCTGGAGTTTTCTGCTTTGTGATCCAGGTGGTTCCTTAGATCCTTTGTCTCCGCCTCATGGACGGGGAGTCCTCGGGAGAGGAATGAATCCCTCGACCCTCCGCCTGAGGCAGCAAACTCGTCGAGCCGGCTNTGGGTCTTAGTGAGTTCTTGTCAAAAAATACTCCACTCATGTTCGATTAATTCGTATTATTCACTTGTTTACTAAACAAATAGCTTAAGGAAGATTTAAATCTTTTAATTTTGTATCGTAACACTCTTACTTCAAACACAATTACATCTGCAAGCAGTCAAAAACATTAAACCAAAAACATTTCCCAACAAAAAATTGCTAATGATATTGACAACAATAACTACNCGGGTCTTAGTGAGTTCTTGTCAAAAAATATTCCACTCATGTTCGATTAATTCGTATTATTCACTCGTTTACTAAACAAATAGCTTAAGGAAGATTTAAATCTTTTAATTTTGTATCGTAACACTCTTCCTTAAAGCACAATTACATCTGCAAGCAGTCAAAAACACTAAACCAAAAACATTTCCCAACAAAAAATTGCTAATGATATTGACAACAATAACTACATCAGCCAAAATCTAATAGTTTATTTCTCACATTTGTGAAATAGATATTATCAATTCGGTAAAATATCATTAGATATCGATGAAGACATGAAATCATTATTATCAATCACACTCACCCCACCCATGAAACCAGGATTAAAGAAAAAGGGTGAATACGTCACTACCCATTAAAAGAAAAAAAAAACAAACAGTAAAAGAGAACAGGCCATTATTTAATCCAAGGGCTGCGTGGGTTCAATCAGTGTATTATGCAGCAGCAAGCAAGAGGCGCACCGCGGCCTGGTTTAACACATTTTCCACCTTCAGGAAATTTTCTTTCAATGCAAGTTCGATTGCAGTCTGGGAAATCCGAACAAGGCCCTTGATAGACCCTCGTTTCCGCAGCTTGACCTGCCACACAAACAGTACCTACTATTAGCAAATGAACAAGAACAGTTTTGGATTCATTCCTCCAATATATATATATATTTTAAATTTTTTTATGTATCAAAGTTTGACCCACAATATTCAAACGGGTCCGTCATCCATCAATACCCAAAATTCCGACGTAAATAATCTATTTTTGATTGAATGAGGTACGTGTAAGCTATTCTAAACATATTTGATCATTGAACTTAAAAAAACAAAAACAAGGTTGAAACATGGAAGGATAGATGTTTACCTGAACTCAAAAGCAAAGCAATGCAAAGAAACCCAATGAAGAAGATTGCACACACTTTTCTGGCTGTCATTCTGCCAAGGTTTGTGTACTCCTTTTCTTGTCTATTGGAATGAGTATACGTACAGCTTCTTAACCAGTCTATTTATAAGGGCATTTTGCAATATTTCTCTCCTAGAGAGAATTAAAGAAAAAATATATTAGAGCAGATACGTATCCCTTATTTTAAAGTAAATAGAATCTCCTATTACGTTAACTTTGTTCTAGGGCAATCAATAACCAAATCCAGTGATTCATGAGAATCCCATGATTGGAGGATTCAAGGGATTCGGTTATGGAATCTGTCGGATTGATTTTTTTTTGGGTAAGTGTTGGATTGATTCTTGGTTGGTAAATATAAATATGGTAGATTTCAAAGACAAATCCATGCATGGTGAGTTCAAATTTCTCAGTTATGGAATCACCGATCCATGGTTGGAGAATTAATGGGATGATTTATTCACATGACAATAAATCCTAGATTGGGAATCAATAAATGCTGATTCCGTGCGGATGATGATAATCTTGATTAAGAATGATATTCTCAAATCTAAATGACATGACAATAAATTCTAGATTAGGAATCAATAAATGCTGACTCTATGCGGATAAGGTAATCTTGATTNATTCAAACGGGTCCGTCATCCATCAATACCCAAAATTCCGACGTAAATAATCTATTTTTGATTGAATGAGGTACGTGTAAGCTATTCTAAACATATTTGATCATTGAACTTAAAAAAACAAAAACAAGGTTGAAACATGGAAGGATAGATGTTTACCTGAACTCAAAAGCAAAGCAATGCAAAGAAACCCAATGAAGAAGATTGCACACACTTTTCTGGCTGTCATTCTGCCAAGGTTTGTGTACTCCTTTTCTTGTCTATTGGAATGAGTATACGTACAGCTTCTTAACCAGTCTATTTATAAGGGCATTTTGCAATATTTCTCTCCTAGAGAGAATTAAAGAAAAAATATATTAGAGCAGATACGTATCCCTTATTTTAAAGTAAATAGAATCTCCTATTACGTTAACTTTGTTCTAGGGCAATCAATAACCAAATCCAGTGATTCATGAGAATCCCATGATTGGAGGATTCAAGGGATTCGGTTATGGAATATGTCGGATTGATTTTTTTTTGGGTAAGTGTTGGATTGATTCTTGGTTGGTAAATATAAATATGGTAGATTTCATAGACAAATCTGTGCGGGCTTGATCCTGCACGATATATAAAATATTGGGAACAGCTCTCTCCCCTGNAAAGTCTTTATTGGAGCCCGAATGACATGACACCAAATAAAGAAACTCAAATTAGCTGTCATGCCATTTAAACTCTTAATTTGGCCTAAAAATTTGGTCAGTCTAACATTATTGAAGAATGATATTCTCAAATCTAAATCTTAGATTACCTTGATTGAAAAATAATGACGGTGGTAATCTCATACCTACATTGATTGACTATCCACAAAAGGAATAAAAATCCCAAAATAAAGTTGCTTCTTAAAATTAATTTCATTTTAGAAATTAAGTTCTCATTCTAAAATCAATATTTTTTCTAAAATTAAGTTTTTCCTAAAATAATTTGGCAAAAACATTAATTTTCACTCTAGATTACTGATAATTTTCAAACATTAAATATGAGATTATTATGATTCTTAAAACCAGGAAATAAGATTACTGCAGTCCAAATGTACTCTAAGGGCACATTTGGATGACAGTAATTTTAATTGGGAATGAGTATTTCATTCCTAGTAATAAGATACCCGAGTTTCAATTACCGTAGTAATTTATATCCAGTGTTCGATTATTATCAATAATCTAATGTGAGAATTAATGNAAAATAAGATTACTGCAGTCCAAATGTACTCTAAGGGCACATTTGGATGACAGTAATTTTAATTGAGAATGAGTATTTCATTCCTAGTAATAAGATACCCGAGTTTCAATTACTGTAGTAATTTATATCCAGTGTTCGATTATTATCAATAATCTAATGTGAGAATTAATGTCATTTTCAAATTATTTTAGAAAATAATTTAATTTTAGAAAAGAGATTGATTTTAGGAGGAGAACTTTAATTTATGAAATGAAGTTAATTTTAAGAAGGATTTTTATTTTTTGGGATTTTTATTCTTTATATAGAATATTCAATCAATGTAGGTATGAGATTACTAGGAATTAGATTACGATAGTGATCATATTTCTGAGTTAGATTTTCGAATAATTGACTCTTCAAAGATGGTAATCTAGGGTTTAGGAATGAGAGTCTCATTACCAATCAAAATTGCTATCATATCAACCCAAACAGGACCTAAGTGATTTGAAAGATAGTGAAACAAAATGACAAGAATACGAAATTAGTGGATATGAGTTTATTATTAGTGGATATGGACACTCATTAGGCTAGTTAAATATTGTTGTGAACAAGAACCCAAGTAAAACATGCTACAAAATTTTTATTTATTTATTTATTTTTGAACAATACGCTACAAATTTGTTGAATATGATTATACATGGCATCATCCCGACAAAAAACATAAACTCAACTATACATGCCTCTATAAAAGGGTCGGGTGTGTGCCAAACGAATATTGACGGAGTGATACAAAACTCAATACGATTTATTGACCATCCTACTTCTCGGTATGAAAATAAATAAATAAATAAATAAATAAATAATGGGTATCAAAATTGTAAAAATATAGCATGCGACGGGCTGAGTCAGTAGTCCAGCCCAGCAAAAGCCCAGATACACGGCCTGCCCTTTTAGTGCCTGGACCAGGCCACGCAGGCCCTACCAGGACTTCATAAAACAATGTTGGTTAGATGGTTGTGGGTATAAACGACTTCAAATATTAATTTAATTTTTTTCAATAATTGTGATTGATTTAATTAACAAATCAATTCAATATTTTAAGTCGAAGTAATATTTTATTTTTTGAGTAATGTTACGCAATTCAAATATAATTTAAAATATTATAATTCAAATGCATATTATTTTTTAGATGAATGAGTTCCATTAACTTTTAAATGGGATCCACTCATTTAACACTCATCGAATGGACGAAATACGTTTAGATTGGATTTTTTTGAGTTATATTTGGATTGTGTAATTTTTTTNGCATATTATTTTTTAGATGAATGAGTTCCATTAACTTTTAAATGGGATCCACTCATTTAACACTCACGAAATACGTTTAGATTGGATTTTTTTGAGTTATATTTGGATTGTGTAATTTTTTTTTTTTGTTTTTTCATAAATCAAAGAGTGCACCACCACGTTAAGGAATTATGAAATTTACCAACCCCCAGCAAGTTAGCTGACAGTACTGCATTTGCCATTTACTTCCCTTCCAACCACGGACCGTGCAATACAACTACTACTATGCCAGCATAGTTTGCTTCGAACTACCTTCTTTTAATGTTCCCATTTGCCCAACTTGAAAGGTAGGAAACATTACCTCCGACGATGTTTTAAATTGTAATATGAACGAGTTGTAAATATAGATGTTCTAAATTAAATTTTGACAATCGTTTGAAACTAGGTCAAGAGAGATTTATCATTTTTTATGAATATTTTAGTCTTGACATGGATGATAAGTTTTTAACCGGATTAAGAAAAAATTAGTCGAGGTGCGCGTAAACTAATTAACCATAAAAACATTTTTTTCCNCTAATGTTCCCATTTGCCCAACTTGAAAGGTAGGAAACATTACCTCCGACGATGTTCTAAATTGTAATATGAACGAGTTGTAAATATAAATGTTCTAAATTAAATTTTGACAATCGTTTGAAATTAGGTCAAGAGAGATTTATCATTTTTTATGAATATTTTAGTCTTGACATGGATGATAAGTTTTTAACCGGATCAAGAAAAAATTAGTCGAGGTGCGCGTAAACTAATTAACCATAAAAACATTTTTTTCCCTAGGGAGTAACATTGCCTACAATTATTTTTTTCCATAAACGAGACATTATGAGTGCAGTCTTATTCCTTAGCTATTCCAAGTTTTCAAGCTGATCTTACAAGTTCACACAGAGCCAAGGTCCTAAAGACTCATTTTATCATCTTACAAATGACCCAAATACCCAGCTTCTTACCAAAGCTACCTATAATATGAAGTATCATTCAATTCCATTTAATGATCTCAACTGTGCTCTACCGCCCTTTTTTTTTTTTCCTTTAAAAGGATATTCACAACGCTCATTCTGGTGTCAAGAGAGATGGCAAGGTGGTATATCATGCTTCTTCTTGCTCTTGCTGTAGCTCATACTACTGCTAGAGATGTGCCCAGTGCCAAGAGTCTCAGTGATCAAAAGAACGTCGTCTCCTTTGGTGGAGTCGGAGGCTACAGCGGCATTGGCGGTGATGGACTGCCTATTGGTGGAGTAGCTGGTGGAGTTGGCGCAGGTGGAGGTCTTGGTGGGGTCAATGGAATTGGAGGCATTGGTGGTGCAGTTGGGTTTGGTGGACTCGGCAGTGGCTTGGGTGGCGCTGGCGGCTTGGGAACTCTAGGTGGTGTCGGTGGTGGTGTTGGTGGCGGTGCTGGTGGTGGCACCGGTGTCCTTCCTTATCCTTGAAGTTATGGTTATATGTGTTCGCTTTGCGTCTAGTTAACTGTTCTATGTGTGCCAGTTGAAGTTAGTTGTGTTTCCTTTCAAGATTTCTATGTAATGTTATTTTAGTGAATTAACATTACTTTTTAATATATTAAAAGTCTAACGTAAAAGATTTAATTTTAAGGGCATAAAAGTTGATGATACAAAAAATAGAGAAGTACAAAATGGGAGAACTGAAGAGTAGGGGTGCAACTCGGACGGATTGGACAGTTAATTCTAACCCAACCTTATGTATATAATTTTCAACTCTAACTCTAATCATAACCCTACCTCAATTTAAGGTATTCAGCCCGATCACTGTCCGAGTTTAATTCAGGCGGACTCGAATTGAATTTGGGTTACTAATTTCGAATTATATTACGGATTCAATTCGTATTGAGTTCGAGTTGAGCTCAAAATAGACTTGTTGTTCTAAACTTGATACATAACGTATATTACATAATATTAACTTAAATTAATAACCAACAACTTCTTTTAACACAAAAAATTATAATATTAAGAATTTAATATTTGAGATAATGCAACCACAACTAAAACTCAATGTTTAACATAAACACATAATAGTAATTTAACACAAATACAAACAGAACACAAAACAAGAAAATTAAACCAAATGACACAGCCACTACCATTGCCACCAATCCATTGCTGCCACACCTGTCCATTGTTACTACAACACAACCACTATCCATTGTTAAAAATGTGAAAATAAAAATAAAAATTACATACTTGATTTGATTTGATCTGAGATCAATGAAGGGAAAGGTGTAGATGGTAGATCTGCTTTGAGATGAAATATGTTTTTTTGATCTGAGATGAGATATGATCTAAAATTTCCTTTCAAGTATAGATTTGATTTTTTTTCACTAATCTGAGATGAACGGAGAGTCACAGATGAAGGGAGAGGGAATGAGCGAGGGAGACAGAGAGAGAAAGAAGGGGCTGAGACTTTGAGATGACTAAGATGAAGGAGGCTAAGAGAGGGAGGAGGCATAGGTAGAGGGATCTGAGAGTGAGAGATAGATTTGAGAGTGAGAGTGAGAAAGAGATCTAGGTCTTCTGAGAGTGAGAGTGAGTAAGGGAGGCGCAATATGGATTGAAGATAGCAAACCTAGTAGAGTAACAGTTAAAACTTAAAATATATTTTATATATTTATTTAATATTCAGGTTGAACCAGGCAACCCGAGGTATCAAACCGAGGCCCGCCCAAATTTAATTCAAGTTGGAGTTTTTTAGTCTAGACCCAATTCAAGTATTAAAAATTCTAATCGAAGTCCTAAATTTATTAGGTTGAAATCGGGTTCGTCAGCCCAAGTTGCACCTCTATTGAAGAGCTCCTCCTTTGATTGGGGAATGAGTCAGGTGTGTGCAATAACATAAAAGAGAAACACAAGGTTAATATGTAGTTTACCAAACTAAAAAGTGTGCTAGTCTATTCTATTAGAATCTTACTCCTCTAGTTTGAATTACTTGAAGAAAAAGAAGAGGACAAATACAATTGGTCTTTGGTTCAATAATACTTTTTATTTTGTGAAAATTTTACCTTCTTGAGGTCAATGGTTCAAACCCCTTTCCCTTCTCCCAAAAAAAGAAATACAACTTTTAGTGGATACAATTTTTCATCATTTCTTAGGAGATAATGATTTGCTTATATACCCCCTAGTCTCGTGATAAAATGGTCCTCTAATTTGTTAGCAAACCATCCAGATCCACTCAATCTCAAAATTATAGGATTCCATGCAACTGCATCCAACTTCCCTTTATAGGCCTGATTTATGCAGCAGTAGGAATCCAATTTTTATTTCTGGCCCAAACATTTCAAGCTAAAGACAGACTTCCTGAACGTTGTTTCTAAATGAAGAGGTCCATAAAATATGTCTTTTCCCAAGTATCAACCCATTTGGACCCTTAGAGGTTCTAACCATGCAACCTTTAGATCGCACAAACAATAGTTTCTCCGGTTCAGAAATGCATTGAATATATACCTAAATTCCAAGATGTTGTTTTTTAACTAGAAAAATAAATGTTTGAGGTTAAGAAGATTATGTTCAATGGATGTGCACACAGCATATTCCCTCATGATTTGAACAATGGATCATTCTTTCTTCAATGGATGGGTCGGATAGTGTTTCATGAGCTTGGGCTAGAGTCTTATCAGAACCCATGAGATTGTACAGATCTAGAACTTTTCACTATTTATGAATTTTTAAGTGTCCTTTTGGAGAATTGGGATCAAGGCCATTGACGTTGACGTTTTAAAACAGTAGGTGACCGTGGATCTACATCTTCAAAGTATATTTACGATCAGTATCAATATGCTTCCATGGTCCAGGTATATCAATCTGGATATGACATTCGATGCACGTGACACATTCACTCAACTCACGTCTACAATCGCCGACGTGAATGTACATAATACACACGTATAGCTAGTTTCTTGAAAAGAAAGACACTTCACAGAACAAATTCCAAACCCAGTCCTCAAGCTTCCCTCCCTCTCTCTCTCTCTCTGTGCAATCAACATGGGTCAAGGAACACCCGGTGGTTTGNACAGAACAAATTCCAAACCCAGTCCTCAAGCTTCCCTCTCTCTCTCTCTCTGTGCAATCAACATGGGTCAAGGAACACCCGGTGGTTTGAATCGGCAAGGTTTACCCGGCGATCGGAAAAACGAAGGCGACAAGAAAGAGAAAAAATTCGAACCGGCGGCGCCACCGGCGAGAGTCGGCCGCAAGCAGCGAAAACAGAAGGGGCCAGAGGCAGCGGCTCGTCTTCCGACGGTGACGCCGCTTTCGAAATGCAGGCTGAGACTGCTGAAGCTGGAGCGAATCAAGGATTATCTTCTGATGGAGGAAGAGTTCGTGAACAATCAAGAGAGGCTAAAGCCTCAAGAAGAGAAAACCGAAGAAGATAGATCCAAGGTCGATGACCTGCGTGGGTCTCCTATGAGCGTGGGGAATTTGGAGGAGTTGATAGATGAGAACCACGCCATTGTGTCGTCGTCGGTGGGGCCGGAATACTATGTTGGGATATTGTCGTTTGTTGATAAGGATCAGCTTGAGCCTGGTTGTGCGATTTTGATGCATAATAAGGTAATCGATTTAATCTGATTGCAGATTATGAAGTTAGGGTTTGTATAGTTGAGCTAGGGTAGGGTTTGTTGTTCGCAGGTGTTTTCTTGAGTAAATGAGAACTTGGGGTTTTGACTTGTAGATCTGAGTTTGGAATTTATTGTTTGGATTGTGATTTTAGAGGAGTGGAGAGATGTTTTGCTAGTGTGTTATGTGATTGAGAATTTTGGGAACTACTTGGGGATTTAAGGTTTTGGATTTTTTTGCTAGCGGTTATTTTCTAATTTGGAATTTACTACGGATGTGGGAACTTGGGGGTTGCGGACTATCACGAGTTAGCTCGGGTGGCCAGCACTTCTCCGCCTCAGAAATAATCCAGGCACTCGATCAGTGGTGCAAACAAGGCATATACCTGAATCTTTCCTTACATGTCGCCTTTGATTTCCATCCCCTTTTCCAAGCACATAGGTAGTGTTAGTGTTGTCTGTGAATTCATTAGGTTTTGTACCTCAGGGTTAAGCTTGGTTTTTAGGAATTTATTGCGGTTAGGAATAATTGATAGCTGAGATTTGTAGTTGTTTTCTTATTTGCCTTGGGTCTTGGAACTTGTGAGCTGTGAGTGAAATCTGCTTGTTTATCTTCTCTTCGTCACATTGGTATGCTGAAGGGCTCATGAGTTTTCCTTCATGACCCTGTGTTAGTTTGAGGATAAAATTTGGGCTTCTTGATGTTTGCAGTGAAAAATAGTGTTATACATTGGACAATCAGCTTAGTAAACAGATAGGGTTGCTGAATTCCACATTCAGAAAAAACATNGTTTTCCTTCATGACCCTGTGTTAGTTTGAGGATAAAATTTGGGCTTCTTGATGTTTGCAGTGAAAAATAGTGTTATACATCGGACAATCAGCTTAGTAAACAGATAGGGTTGCTGAATTCCACATTCAGAAAAAACATAGATTTCTAAAAAGGACAGATATTTAGTCACTTGATTGGTTGCAAATGTTTTGTAGATATGTATGGTTTTAATTATCTGTATGTATTTGTTTGAGGTCTTACTTTTCAGCTTCCGACTGTTTTCCACAAAGAACTAACTGATGACACTAGAAGTTTCTATGTAATGAGCGGAGCAAATTGTTAAAACAATCTATCATAAGGTTATATGGATGGACCTCCCATCAAGAAATTGTTTCCGTTATGTTACGGGTTACGGCATTTAATGGTTTATGTTTCCTTTGGATTGTTATACGGGTGTATCAGAACATTTTTTGGCAAAAGGATTTTATATTATTTATGTCCTATCCTCAGGTTCTTTCTGTTGTTGGGCTTCTTCAAGATGAAGTTGACCCAATGGTGTCTGTGATGAAGGTTGAGAAAGCTCCATTGGAATCATATGCTGACATAGGTGGGTTAGATGCCCAGATACAGGAAATAAAAGAAGCAGTCGAGCTTCCCCTGACACACCCTGAATTATATGAAGACATTGGTATCAAGCCTCCTAAAGGGGTCATACTTTACGGAGAGCCTGGAACAGGAAAGACCTTACTTGCAAAGGTATATAATTATTTTTATCTTGGGCAGATGTGGCTTATGTTACTTTCTTTTCTATGTGGAATAAGCAATTCCACAAATTTTGTTGTTGCTATTAAGCTATATTGTCCCCTGCTTTTGTTGTCTTTGTGGTTTGATCATAGAGCAACGTTCTACCATATTGTGTCACAAATTATACATTTCAACACGTAGTCATGAGAAAAGCATGATATACAATCTCCTTTTTAGGTGTCTGGCTCAGTCTGTAGGTTTAATAAAAATGTTATCATGTGGTCAAGGTTTTCAAACACATTTTTAGGAGATTTTTACCAAAGAAAAGCCGAAAGTTGAAATATTAACTTCCAATATCGATATCTGATGTGTGACATCTAGTTGTTTACTTGCTAACTGTTTACATTGCAGTAATTTTAACTTTACAAAGCATTAATTAAAACCCTTGCGTAATAGTTATATCTAAGTACTTTTAATGCGTGTGGGCAGGCCTTTTTGGTGGTTCAGTTTGAGCCTCAATTTTGGACGAGTGAAAATGCTCAAATGCAGGGTTCAGTATAAATTGATGCTGTCCGAAAATGTGGGCTTCAGGCTTTCCTGGCCCAGGAGTTGAGGCTTCGCAACTCTTCGTCTTTTTGTTTGTACTAATATAAATTTATTGGGATAGAAACCAAACAGAGCATAACATGAAACCACTAACATCAAAGCACTCACATAACGGAAAAACGATAAATTAAAGCCTAGTATGAAATCCTAATACAGCACAATAAGATTGGGAACAAAATTAAGTCCAACAGTTTGGAAAAGTTATTAATAAAGAATAGTGCAGGCAAGCACACATTTCTAGATCTTCTAAACAAAAGGGTGTATTTTTGGTCCATCGGTTGTATCTAGGGTAAAGTATTGCTATGAAGATTTTATTTGCTCTTAAATATTCTTAAAATGGTGAAAATATTCCATAGACAAGTCCCTAGTTACCCATTTATATCTTCCCAATAATCTGTCCTTTAAAAGCTAAATTGTTACTACCTGTTAGTATTTCATGAAAACATAAGCATAGGAGAACATATTACGTTTTTTTTATAAGAACAGTCAGAGAACAAAGCTTTCAAAATCTATGAGAACTTACTATGTGAATAGTTGTAAATATAAGATAGTCTTTTTTCAAATCATGATTATGCTCCAAGTCTAGTGTATATAACCATGAAAAATATTTGAATTCCAGCAATGATATATTAATCAAGAACAACATAAATTTATCTAAAAGCATGTCCCCTGCCATCTCCTCACTTCCCCTGCCATCTTTCTCACTTCCATTGTCAGCAGTAATAAACATCTGTGAGCACTTCTAGACAAGTTTCTTTTTCATGGCTTTCCACTCAATAAGTATGTGGTCAAATTCTTGAAATTTATCTAGGAAAGAAACAAAACTTGAAAACAAAAAATGACCATGTAAATACACAATCCAAGGCAAAGGGGCTCAAGATAAAGAATGAGAAAAAAAACATTTGGGTTCAAAAGATATAAAGTTTTTTATTTCATGTGCTATTATTTTATGTGATTAAGACAAAACAACCACTTTTCTGTATGCAAATTTTAAACAAAATGTTTTTATGCATTTTTTTCTTTTAGGTCCATCTAAAGAAGGTTTCTCTGGTGTGCAAAGACCTGAAATGAGATATCTGAACAACTCATTCACGTATTTCCTTGTCAGCTACTTTAACATATTCATATGGGAATGCGTTATATGCATGAAAGATATCTTACAAAAAAATAAACAAGAGAAATAGAAAAAATATTTTAGGTCAAGATTGAGATTACAACCCACACCAATTTTTGGCCTTAGTATTCAACATGACACAAGTATATTGACAATTGGCTTTTCTCTACAGTATCAATAAAATTTCAAATTTCAAATCCATCTCAAAGCCAAGGCCTCCACAACCAACAACCAAACTGTAGCTACCGATAAGCAAATAAACAGAGTTATCTTATGAAGATGGATTAATAGGGAAACTCATCGCCGAAGGATTTTAAAAAAAGGACCAAAGTTGAAGTAATTGGTCCACATTTTTCGCTAAATTATATTGAGTCGATGTTTGATTGAAGAAAACTTTGGTTTTTGTCTGTGCCTGGTTGTTCTGCGCTGACAAAGAACTTATTGTTTTAGGAAAAAAGTCGCAGTTTGAATTCATAAAGCTCACTGAAATTTAAACTAAAACAATTTCCAGATTTAAACCTTTAATATTACAAGGCAGAGAAAACAAATTCTGGTAAATTTACCTGATTTGCTGTAGCCTTTCGTGGGTCTTTATCAAGGGTACGCCCCCCCCCCCCAAAAAAAAAAAAAAAAAAAAAAAAGCAACATAATTTTTTTTTTTAAAAAAATTACTCCATTGTTCACAGAAATCTTTGATTTTCAAGAACATTAGCTGAAAAATATAATAATTTTTTAGCCTAAAGCAAATATTTTCAAAAGAATATATATACCTGCTATCAGCAGTTGCACAACCGGATTCTTTCTATACTTTCCAAATTTTCTTGTGATACCTGATGACAACTTCTCTCTCATAAATATGAGAAAAGTTTGAGGAAAAACAGAGGTCATGCCTCATCCCTCCCCGATCTGTCTCAAGGAAGGGAGAATGAGAGAGAAGGAGATCTTCCAAAGATTTGCTCCATGATTTGTGACGAGCAACTGGTCTACTGTCTTCGTCTTAAGAGAGAGAGAGAGAGAGGAACAGATTTCCAGATTTTCTCTATGATTTACGTCAAAAAGGTGGGGAAGAGGGAAGGCCTTTTTGCATGGCTGTGGGGACATCAGTTCTCCTAGGTTGTTCTCCACATGTTGGGGTGTTGATGAATAGTGAAAAAATCTAAGGTAAAAGTGTGGGTCTGCTTATATATGTGTCATACGTGTGGAGGCTGTTATGAAAAGTGTATAGGGCTTATTCAAGGCTAATGGCCTGGCTTGGCTTGTGAATTGTCCAGGAGTTGCATATGCTCTTTTATAGATATAGGAAATAGGTTCCACAACCTTGGTGCCTTGTAGGTTCATTTTATTTACTTAGGCCTTTCTAACAGAGTGTGCGCAAGGAGTGCTTTTCCAGCTGCAATTACATGGAAATGTTTAGAAAACTTAACAATGGTATTGCTACAGTTGAATGGGGTTATCTTTTAAATATTTGGAATTGCAATTCCATAGGTGGTGTTCGAATGGTTTTGGGGTTTTGCGGGTTAAAGAAGGCTACATTATGCCAGTTTAAAGCACGTGTCATATATGTTTTTGTTTGCTTCCTTAATTGTTTTCTGTTGATTTTATGATGATTAAACTCTGCTATCAATTGTTTTCTAGCAGTGCAGAAGATAAAAAAAATTTATGCCAAAAAAGTCAGTTTTGTAAGTTAGAACCTGAACTCTGAAAAATGTGACAGTGGGCACTAATAATGGAGTCTCTAGTGTGGTGTCTGTATTCTTTTTTGATGATGATTTTGGATGCAACCAACTTGAACTACTTATGTGCATTAAGGGGCAGCAGCATCACCATGTTCTCTTGTGGCTTATATTTAGTTCCTTGCTTTAGCTGGTTTTTTAGTTGGAAGAGTGATTGGATCAAACAAGTCTTAAGCTTGTAGCCCTCTTTCGTGTTTCTCAGGCTGTGGCGAACTCTACATCTGCAACTTTCTTGCGAGTTGTTGGCAGTGAACTGATTCAAAAGTACCTGGGAGATGGTCCTAAATTAGTGAGGGAACTATTCAGAGTTGCTGACGATCTCTCCCCTTCAATTGTTTTCATTGATGAAATTGATGCAGTTGGAACAAAAAGGTGAGGACATGAATATTTTTGGCTTGAGAACAATATCTTGAGTGAGGGATTTTAATCGCGTGTAGTCCACAGGTACGATGCCCACTCTGGTGGTGAACGTGAAATTCAGAGGACCATGTTGGAACTTCTGAACCAGTTGGATGGTTTTGATTCAAGAGGAGATGTCAAGGTGATTCTTGCAACAAACAAAATTGAGAGTCTTGATCCTGCATTGCTTCGACCTGGTCGAATCGATAGGAAGATTGAGTTTCCTCTTCCGGATATCAAAACAAGGAGGCGCATTTTCCAGGTATATACAAAAAGATGATTATATAAATATGTACACGTGGGTTATATTTGCCCTCGCCGTTCTTATATTTTGTGGTAGTTGTGTTAAAACATTTGCCTGGCACATCTTTTCGTTCTTTTAATGCAGATACACACGTCAAGAATGACTTTGGCTGATGATGTCAACTTAGAAGAATTTGTTATGACTAAGGATGAGTTTTCTGGAGCTGACATCAAGGCAATATGTACTGAAGCTGGTTTGCTTGCTTTGAGAGAGCGCCGTATGAAGGTGAGACATAATTCATTAGTGAGTCAATGAATGTTTGTATTAATTGTTTCTTACTCATCATAAAGAATTTTCTTTTGCTTGGCAACTTAAAAATGCATAAACAAAAAGGAATGTGATCGTGTCTTGTGGAATTCAGCCTATTCCAACTTATTTTTGTAGGATTATATATGTCATATGTGTGTGTGTGGAATTATCATACACTTATCTCACTCGGTCAATTATTTGTGTAGTTCCACGTTAAATCTCCTTTTTCAACAAATAGCAAGAGGATATTGAAGAAGCTGGTTCATGCCATTGTGGCATCTGAAGCTAGTGAAACTTTAAAAGTGGATCTAATGGTCAATTAAATGGCTCTTGTTTCTTATCAACAAATAAATGTCGTAACTAATTGAAAAGAAGAACCATCAAATGAAAAGCTTAAAATATGAAGTTTTACGGAGGGAAAACCTTCCCCAATCCCAAAAAGAAAAATCAAAAGTATCAGAAATGAAGAGAAGAATGAAAAGCTATGGGTGGATTATCTTCTCATGGGCAATGAGAGTGTAGATATTGAAAGCTGATTTCTCTTTAATACACGAGATATGCTCCCCCTTCATTTTTTCTTGCCCTAAAGAAAAATAATACCAACAGCCTCAACAACTTGTTTTAACTTGTGTTGAGAATCCTTGTTAACCATTTTAGACTTCTATTGAGGGTGGTAAATTCCTGTAGAAGTGTGTACACGTGTAGCAGAAAGTTTGTGTTTTGGATCTGGTTTCATTGCATATTGCTCGGTGATATTACCTACCATACAGTGCTTCATTATATTTGCTGAAGTAGTTGTGCCTTGGTCTTGCCTGGCAAATCAGAGGGAACAAAAGCAAGCAAATAATAATAACAATTACTACTGGCAATGTTTCATTGTGTTTGATTATGTTCTACGTATTACTCTCCTGCCATTTAAATGTGGCTTCCAATCCATTGACTGGATAGTTGCCTGGATTTGGTTCTCTGATATGTGTTCCTTTGTTTCAGGTGACACATACAGACTTCAAAAAGGCAAAAGATAAGGTTATGTTTAAGAAAAAAGAGGGGGTTCCAGAAGGACTCTATATGTGAAAATACCCTTGTTCGTTGTGGACTTGGTCCCGTGTTTACTAGTTTGAAATTTACCACTTCAAACTTCTGCTTCCCCTTTTTTCTTAATCTGTACGGCTATGCTGGTGCCATCCTTCGCAAAATGATGAAAATTCTGTTCGGGAACAATCTGGACTATTATCAGTAATCCAATTAAATTGATGAACTTACCTTTGAGCTGTACCCATTGGATTTTACAGTTCAGAGTGATGGGACTTTTTTGAAATACTCCATGATGTAGACACGTGTTCTCGGTATTTACCAAAATATTGTTATTAAGATCAAGGACCATCGGCGCATAAAGGTCCTCGCCCCCGAGGTACTCGTCATATAGGATCATGGTATTTCAGTACGAGTTACAACCAACACGTAATCTCGGTCTGATATGGTACCTCGGTCGGTATACTTCCCTCGGTTCCGAGAAGAGCTTTTCCTTGGTGCCGAGAGGTACCCCGTCCTGGACGCTTCCTCTATTCCAGGATAAGCTATTGACGTACAGGTCATTAGCCTAGGCTATTCATCATGATCTCGTCTTACACAATTAGTGTCAGAACGTACTGGAATGCAGGGGCCACAGCCAATGGGAGATGGACGCGTGGCGTATGATATCACATCGAAGACAGAGAAATTGCATGTCGTTGCTGACACGCGACTTGGGAAAACAAACGATTAATTACACCATTCCCTTGATGAGATCGTATTCAATGCGGTAAGGTTCGGAAATGAAAGACAATAAATGCTCCTAATACAGAGCATTTATTGCATCTTCCCCGAGAGGAGTACATTGTACCGCCGGCATCCCGATGACCCAGCATTGATTGTTCGGAACCCCGAGCAGTTAAGAAGAGAAGACATTCCTCATCAGAATCAGTGCGCACATTGCCTGTACCTAATGATCACCTACTGACTACACTGACAGCAATCATGAGCTTTTGAAGTATAAATACTCCTTGCAAAAGGCAAGACGGGTATGCAGCAAAAANTTCCCTCGGTTCCGAGAAGAGCTTTTCCTTGGTGCCGAGAGGTACCCCGTCCTGGACGCTTCCTCTATTCCAGGATAAGCTATTGACGTACAGGTCATTAGCCTAGGCTATTCATCATGATCTCGTCTTACACAATTAGTGTCAGAACGTACTGGAATGCAGGGGCCACAGCCAATGGGAGATGGACGCGTGGCGTATGATATCACATCGAAGACAGAGAAATTGCATGTCGTTGCTGACACGCGACTTGGGAAAACAAACGATTAATTACACCATTCCCTTGATGAGATCGTATTCAATGCGGTAAGGTTCGGAAATGAAAGACAATAAATGCTCCTAATACAGAGCATTTATTGCATCTTCCCCGAGAGGAGTACATTGTACCGCCGGCATCCCGATGACCCAGCATTGATTGTTCGGAACCCCGAGCAGTTAAGAAGAGAAGACATTCCTCATCAGAATCAGTGCGCACATTGCCTGTACCTAATGATCACCTACTGACTACACTGACAGCAATCATGAGCTTTTGAAGTATAAATACTCCTTGCAAAAGGCAAGACGGGTATGCAGCAAAAAACTCTTTACTACAATACACACTCAGTGTTTTCTCCTTCCTCTCTCTCTCTCAAAGACTGACTAGATCGTCGGAGGGGATACGCCGGAAAACACTCCGGCGCCCTTCTAACTTGTTCTTCTTTGTTCCAGGAACCTCTTTCAGCCTTACTGGATCGTTCTTCCGNTATTGCTCGGTGATATTACCTACCATACAGTGCTTCATTATATTTGCTGAAGTAGTTGTGCCTTGGTCTTGCCTGGCAAATCAGAGGGAACAAAAGCAAGCAAATAATAATAACAATTACTACTGGCAATGTTTCATTGTGTTTGATTATGTTCTACGTATTACTCTCCTGCCATTTAAATGTGGCTTCCAATCCATTGACTGGATAGTTGCCTGGATTTGGTTCTCTGATATGTGTTCCTTTGTTTCAGGTGACACATACAGACTTCAAAAAGGCAAAAGATAAGGTTATGTTTAAGAAAAAAGAGGGGGTTCCAGAAGGACTCTATATGTGAAAATACCCTTGTTCGTTGTGGACTTGGTCCCGTGTTTACTAGTTTGAAATTTACCACTTCAAACTTCTGCTTCCCCTTTTTTCTTAATCTGTACGGCTATGCTGGTGCCATCCTTCGCAAAATGATGAAAATTCTGTTTGGGAACAATCTGGACTATTATCAGTAATCCAATTAAATTGATGAACTTACCTTTGAGCTGTATCCATTGGATTTTACACTTCAGAGTGATGGGACTTTTTTGAAATACTCCATGATGTAGACACGTGTTCTCGGTATTTACCAAAATACTGTTATTAAGATCAAGGACCATTGACGCATAAAGGTCCTCGCCCCCGATGTACTCGTCATATAGGATCATGATATTTCAGTACGAGTTACAACTAACACGTAATCTCGGTCTGATATGGTACCTCGGTCGGTATACCTCCCTCGGTTTCGAGAAGAGCCTTTCCTCGGTGCCGAGAGGTATCCCGTCCTGGACGCTTCCTCTATTCCAGGATAAGCTATTGACGTACAGGTCATTAGCCTAGGCTAGTCTAGACTATTCATCATGACCTCGTCTTACACAATTAGTGTCAGAACGTACTGGAATGCAGAGGCCACAGCCAATGGGAGATGGACGCGTGACGTATGATATCACATCGAAGACAGAGAAATCGCATGCCGTTGCTGACACGCGACTTGGGAAAACAAACGATTAATTACATCATTCCCTTGATGAGATCGCATTCAATGCAGTAAGGTTCGGAAATGAAAGACAATAAATGCTCATAATACAGAGCATTTATTGCATCCTCCCTGAGAGGAGTACATTGTACCGCCGGCATCCCGATGACCCAGCANTTTTATATTGTGCAGGATCTTGTACGCACAATCTGGCGTCGTCTGTGGGAAACGACTAGTTTTCCTAGTTTTTTCTCTATAAAGAACAGTGACCATGGTGAACACTCGACAGAAAGGGAAANCTCCCCGAGAGGAGTACATTGTACCGCCGGCATCCCGATGACCCAGCATTGATTGCTCGGAACCCCGAGCAGTTAAGAAGAGAAGACATTCCTCATCAGAATCAGTGCGCACACTGCCTGTACCTAATGATCACCTACTGACTACACTGACAGCAATCATGAGCTTTTGAGGTATAAATACTCCTTGCAAAAGGCAAGACGGGTATGCAACAAAAAACTCTTTACTACAATACACACTCAGTGTTTTCTCCTTCCTCTCTCTTTCTCAAAGACTGACTAGATCGTCGGAGGGGATACGCCGGAAAACACTCCGGCGCCCTTCTAACTTGTTCTTCTTTGTTCCAGGAACCTCTTTCAGCCTTACTGGATCGTTCTTCCGCTCCCCCAGGGTCTCCCGTTGCCGTTCCAGGTTACCACCGGACCTCGCAGGCTGTTCCAAGCAGCGTGGTTGGTCACTCAACTGGCTCACTCGAGTTCACCAAGGGAGAGATCTGTTCTCGTTTTTTATATTGTGCAGGATCTTGCACGCACAATCTGGCGCCGTCTGTGGGAAACGACTAGTTTTCCTAGTTTTTTCTCTATAAAGAACAGTGACCATGGTGAACACTCGACAGAAAGGGAAAGGCCTCCACCAAAGGAGTCTCGAGTTACAAGCTCCCTGTTATCACGGAGGAAGGGATCACACCGATATGAATAAAAGTGCCTCTACTCGGTCAAGAGGGGTTACCCCTCAAACCAGTATGAGAATCAGGTCAGGGAGATCAGCCCCCTTGGCTCGTCAGCTGGCGGAGGTGATNTCTTGCAAAAGACAAGACGGGTATGCAACAAAAAACTCTTTACTACAATACACATTCAGTGTTTTCTCCTTCCTCTCTCTTTCTCAAAGACTGACTAGATCGTCGGAGGGGATACGCCGAAAAACACTCCGGCGCCCTTCTAACTTGTTCTTCTTTGTTCCAGGAACCTCTTTCAGCCTTACTGGATCGTTCTTCCGCTCCCCCAGGGTCTCCCGTTGCCGTTCCAGGTTACCACCGGACCTCGCAGGCTGTTCCAAGCAGTGTGGTTGGTCACTCAACTGGCTCACTCGAGTTCACCAAGGGAGAGATCTGTTCTCGTTTTTTATATTGTGCAGGATCTTGCACGCACAATCTGGCGCCGTCTGTGGGAAACGACTAGTTTT